AATGCCCTCGATCCACTACTTGAGCTGAGGAATGGCGTTTAGGACTCGAGCAACAACTACACCACCGCAAAAACTGGTGAGGAGAAAGGAGATGAATGTAAAATCGACATTTAAGGGAAAGTTATGATTACGTGATACATTCCACTTCTCGGGGAATGGCCTAAACTCGGCAGGGATCAAGTCTGCGGTCCTCACCCGGACAAAGTGTCCCTGCGTGCTCCAATCCCGGTCCTCATCGATGCTTGAGAATGGGACTTTGCTAGCCCGGTGTACGAGCTTTATCAATCCCCCTCGAAAGATTCATAGATTGTACAGACGGAGTAGATGATCGACGGTGAACAGACATGAGTCGATTTTGTTCACGAAGTATCGAAGGAGGATTACGATCCTCCATAATGACTGGTGGATCTGACCGAGGCATACTTCATACCTCTTATAGAAGTCCAGAATAACTGGGTCCACCGGGCCCAATGTGAAGAGATAAGTGTAAACACTCAGATACCCCTCCACATGAGTAGTAATGTCGTCCTCAAGCCCAGGAATTACTATGTCCTTATCCACCCAACCACAATCCTTTCAAACTGCAGGAAGGACTTCTTCAGTGATGGAGCATATGTTCCTAGATACCCCCTCACACCGGGCCTGCACCGACGAGGGCTTTTCGATCTTAAAATCATCCGCGATCGAGAACCCTCGGGGACAAACATTTTCAAAGGAGGCTCGGGAGGCGGTTCATCGGTAGCTCTAGAGGACGACCACATCGGGAGTGGTCTTCTCGACTTCGGCGGTCGGCTGTGAAGAAGAAGAAGCAAATTTTGGGGAATAGTTTTGAAAGTTTTAGCCATTGATATCTGGAAAAAGTTTGAAAAATATGAAGAAAGGTTGGGAGATGAAAGGTAAAAGCTTTACTGTGAAAGTTAAGTGCGCTGGTTTGGATAGAAAATAAGTAGAAGCTTGCAATTTATTGAGGAATCTTGAAGAACGGAGGTAAAAATATTAGAGTATGAAGAAGGGCAGTGATATCCTGAAGACTCGAAGGTAGAAGCTTAATCCAAAGGTAAAAAGTGAACGAAAGAGAGGAGTATTTATAGAGGCTTCACGTCGTTTCACATCAGGGGATGACATGCCGATGGCTGATACGCGTTTAAAGTCAAAATGACACGACTGACGAGACGTTTCAGATTCTTTGTCGTTTCTGTCACGGCGTATTGAAGAAGGAATCGAAGTGCACATATCGTTTCTCGTTGTTTCTGTAAACTTACTCTCCGAGAAACGAGTGGACTATCTGTGTACGAGTAAAATCGAGCCCATGGGACGCCTCGGTTTTCGACGAAGTAAACGGAGGAAGAGACGTGATTGTAAGGGACTAGAATCGAGGCAAGGAGCCCCTCGAGCCGGGGTCCGGGCAAAACGTCTGCCCTAGGGAATATCGGGGCCACGACCCCCAGGATTGGTTCGAATCCCAAAAATCTCGGAGAGCATTACCAGATAATCGAGCATGACCAACAAAAGGTCGTGATATCCGTGACCATCCGGATATCATGGTATGAATCTCGGTACGTATCGGCAGAAAATCGGTGATTAGTGAAACGAAAGATTTTTACCTTTTGTGGAATTGCACTTAGGATAAAATTCTCCTACTATATAAAGGGCAGTCTGATTATTCATTAGACATACTGTAATACACATATCAAGGCAATATATTCTTTTTTTTCTTTATTATTCAAAATTCTTACTTTTGTTCATCAGTTCATCAATAACTTGAGCTCGGGATTCATTGAGTTATTACTAAGTCCGGGATCACTCCTCTTAATTGGTTTGACAATTTATTACGTCTTTTATCTGTTTAATCTAACGCATTTCATCATTTGTATTGAATTAATCCGAGTATCCTTAAAACTATCTATAAATTTAATTGTTATCCGTTTTTTAGGGTAAACAATTACAATACCAAAACATTAACAGTTCTATATATACTATAGTCCGTAAACAAACTCTGCGCTATGTTGTTGGGTTATTCTTCTTTTAGCACTTTTTTATCTATTTTTAGGCATCCCCTGGTTTCTAAATTTAGACATTTTGTTTTTATTTCTGTCGAGCACATTTGGACTTTAGTTACTTTACCATAATATCAGGAAGATTTAGAAAATGGATAGTAACTTCAACTTCTTTTGTGGTTCAAGCGAGATTTTCAAGATTATAGGTATTTCTTTTTTCTTGCATTAGTTATGATGTAAAGAAATTGGGTTGCAAATTCATATAGAAAATCACTTCAGGCTTGTTGAGAGTAGTGGTGGAATCCAATGGAGTGCAGTTATCACAACAACGTAAAACAAAAAACAAAAAAAAAGATGGATTATTTTTCTAACCTTGATTAATTATCAAATTTTATGGACACTTCGGTACGGTATTTATGAATTACGGTTCGCTACTTTAGTATTCAGTATATCAATTATGCATACTAAATACCGTACCAAAGTAGTTCAATACGGTTCGATATTTTATTCTTTGATTCGGTACGATTTCGGTATTGCACCATCCCTATCTAACGTGACAAGCAGTGGCTGTAATTACTAGTTACAGCAGTCTTACTAGCTTTTCACATTTCTCTCTCGTAATACTGTCAGTTAGGCAGATTTAAAGCATGTATTAATGGTAATTTTACCATGAGCTTTTACCGAGTTCCAACTCTTGTATCTGAACTGGTAACAAGCGGGTGAAACTAGCCAATGGAAATACTCCACTTCTCTTTAAACCCTTTCTCTTCTACTGCCTACCCCTCTTGTTTATTTTTCTGTTGAAACAAAAGCTAGAACATATGATGTCTGATACCGGATAATGTTCATATACACAGCATTTCTGTCCAAACAAAAGCTAGAACATATGGTAATGGAATTCACTTTGAGTCTTACTTTCTGCAACTTTTCTCATTCTGGCATTTACCTTCTCATTGAATTTGATCTAAAGCTAACAAAATGAGCTCCTTAATTTCACCATTGTTCTGGGCAGGGTAGGATTAGGAAGCACGGTAATACTTAAATAATTCGGTATTTCGGTATATCAAAATATCGAAACCTCAGTACCGAGGATCATATCGAATCGAATCAAAAAATTGATACTGAAATACATAATTAATTTGGTCCGATTCGAAATTCGATTTTTCGAATTTGATGCACACCCTAAGTGTGAATAAATATTTTTCCTAGGCCGTATTATTTTCCAAGGGTGGCCGGTGAAGGACGGAGAAAATGGCTAAATTAGTTGATGTGGCATATTAAATGGATAAGCAAAAGAATGGGCAATGAATAGATAAAATCAAAAAAATAAACGTTGGGATTCGCGATAAAGATGGGAAAGAGAAATTGGAGGAACATGGACGGATTCGCAACAGTCTTGAGATCAGATCTACTATATATTTGTGATAGGAATGGGTGTAAACTTCCCCAATTGAAAGTCGTCACCTCATTAATGTCAATCTAAGAGGACCCCCTATTATTTCCAAGAACTCTAACCAAAAAAAGAACGAAAGAAATATGCATCCTATACATTCAATTCATAAAGTATTAAAAGAATTTACTTACAAAAAAAATAAAAAAATTTGAAGTGTCATTACATTTTTTGGGGTTAATTTCATTGCACATTTATTTTTGCATGATACCCATGGATTTATTTAATATATATGTTTCTAACTACTCAAGTTACTGCTTGGATACAATGTAATTTTTGTAAGCTGCACACCGCCTAAAGTTGAATAGCTCAACTCACAAGTTATTTTTGGAAAGGTTAGGTATTATGTCTCCCTTTATTATATTTTCACTTTTTAAAATTTGATTAGGGCCATGGCCTAAACTCCTACACCATAATAGTGGCCTTTCTCCAAGTATGAACTCCTCGCTAGAGGAAGCCAAGAAAGTCCTTCTACTATTTACTCCATCTTAATTTATGGTCCGTTTGACTTAATACTAAATTTAATAAAAAAATGAACTCTTTTGTAACTTATAATCTAAAACAATTCTTAAATATTTCTGCGGCTATAATCATTTTGTTAAGGACATAATGAGAATTTTTAATGAGAGATTATTTCTACATATAAAAGGTGACCTTTTTTGGGAGAGACCAAAAACAAAAATAGTGTTACCTAAGTTGAAATGAAAAGAACAGTGAAGCATGTCAATAAATAGTTGACTTATGGTTGGATGGTTGAAATATCTCTCTCCTTAACTAATGAGTTTAGGTTTAAGTTGTGGGAACGGAGTAAGTTTGGGCAGAGGCGGATCCATGTGTTATAATGACGAGGTGTCACCGGATTCCGTAAGTTTCGGTAGAAATCTTGTATATGTAAATGTATATATCTTGAAATATGTTAATTAAAAGCACTTGGCACCTCTAAACACTAAAAGCTTTTAGGAGGCACTGGTTGAGCAGAATACATTGCCACCATTACATAAAAATCCTGGGTCCGCCTCTGTGTTTGGGTTAGAGCGTTTTACAACCTTATAAGTCTATTGTGCGCAAATCATATTAGTCGGATCACTGAATGATGAATATCAAATTGTTAAACAAAAAAATAATACTATCTACACTATACTTGAAAAAATACATATGCTTACAAAGTGTTTGTACAAAAACAAACAATTTACACTAATAAGAGTTACAAATTAAGTAAGAATACACGTGAATATGTGATTATATGATAAAACTTTATATCAATACATATGTATTCTATTAATTGATTGGGTCCAAACTCCAAATGCAATTTAGATTTTTTTTTTCCTATGTGTATTCAGTATTTTATTTCCTAATATTTCAGTGGTGATCAAAATCTAAAATTATGGGAAAGAGCAAAAGGATGGGCTTAACCAGTCACCCACGTTACCTCACAAATTTGTAAGCTTCCCTTTATCAACCAAACCAAATACTATCAAAAAAATCAAAAGTTTAATCATTTCACTCACCTCATCCTATCCCTCTCTGTATATATTCCAACTTCTCAGGTATACTTTATGCCCTCTTGCTTTTGATTATACTCCAGCTTTTATCATATCAAGAATCGCTTTGATCCCTCCTTCTTCTCTGTTTGTTCCTTTCCCTTTTTTTCCTCTGCATCTACAACTACATAAGCTGCACCATTATACACAGATCTGTCACTTACCAAATTATGTCACTTGAATGCTGAGTCACATTTTCTGAGTTGGGGTTTGGTCTTTTTTCTTGAATAGACGATGGGTGTTGAATATCACGAGGTGGGTTTTTCTCAATAGCATGCATATTTTTTTCTTAACTTTTCTATATGGGGTTTCTCTTAATCAAATATATCGCCACCTCTAATAAAGATTACGGCTTTATATCATTGGCATTAGGAATATATAAGGAATTCAAGAGGTGTTCAGCTTTTTACTTGTAGATGGTTGCCCTTTTCTTCTCCAAAGGCCCTTGTTTTCCTTTGCCATGGTCTGTTTCTCTTTCACCTATCTTTTCACTTTTTTTTCTTTATGCGGCCACGTGACAATGAGTTCAGTGGTTCAAGCCGTGAAAACAGCCTCCGGCAGAAATGCAGGTTAAGGTTGCGTATAATATATTCTTGTGGTCCGATCTTTTCTCAAAGTGCACCGGGCTGCCTTTGTTCCTTAGGTTGAAAATTGATCTAATAATTGGTAAACGATGTTGCAGGCTATGGCATGGAGTGCAGTGGATTCATGAGAGGTAATAAATGTTTCCTCATTTAATCTGTTTTCACTTTCATGGCCAATTTTCTATAGAAATAGAAGTCGTTTTTTAAATGTATGAAAAGTGCCAATTAATGCATGTCATTACGTCTTTCCTCCCACCTCCCGTGCCTCTCTGAATAGTCTCATTCAAGATATGGTTTTACTTTTACCTCTTTTTTACTTCCCTATTGAGTTTTGCCATAGGGTAACAGTACAAAAGGTACCCACTTTTTTTATATTTTTGGGGTCCATTTTCTATTTTAGTACAGTAAGATATGGTCCATTTCCTGCTACACTTGTTATTGTTTTGACTTCACAGGTGACCTACCATACCTGTGAAATTTATGGAGTACCTCCTATCTTATCATTCTTTTCTTAATCTTTTCTTTTTATATACTCACAAACTGTTGGTGCCCATATCTCATCATTCACATTTTTATAGAGAACTTCTAGTAAGTTAAATTATTTTATTTTAATTTTATATCATATTCTGATTAAGATGATCTTAGATAGAACGACACCGAGGCCAACCTCAACTGCGCTTGGGACTATAAGGATCCATATGGCCCACCTCAATTGCGCTTGGGATTGAGGCGTAGTTATTGTTTGACTATATCTTGGCATTATGGTCATATGGGTGTGGTCAGGGGCAGGGCTAGCCCTTCGGCTACGGGTTCGGTCAAACCCAGGAGCTTTGACAAATCCTATATTTGTCTTAAGAAATTCACTGAATATGCATAAATTATTAATTTAGAACCCGATAACTTGAACTAGAATCCTGAACCCATAAGTTTCAAATCATGTCTCGGCTCTTAGGTGTGGTATATCATATACAAGATTATCTCTTTTGAGGGCACAATTATTGGTGATATAAAGTAGTGCAAATGCAAGGAGCTAGTAGTTAAAGATGCAATAAAGAATGGGCCTCAAATTGATGATATCACAGTGAGAACTCATCTAGCACTATTATTCCACTCAGACTCAAGGTATTATAGATTTGTTGAAAATCAGCAATTCTCACCCTTAAATAACATCCTTTTATTGTTGCCTGCAGACTGATTGGTCTGTTTCCTTTCCCTTCTTGGTAGTTGGATAACTAACACCTATCTTGGAAATTAATTGTTTTGTCTGGTTAAAATAAGGATAAATAAAGGCTTGTTGATAGATTGGCTGACTATTGAGAAACCATTAAATTTAGAAGTCCAATCTTGGTAGTTTGATTGGTTGATTAGGTTAGCAAATAAGTTGGGATCTCAACAGAGAGATTGCTTCACGCACCAAAACTTGTGGGACACTTGGAATTCAGATAGTCAAACAAATAATAAAATTCTAGAACATAACATAGGTTTTAATAGTAGGATCTATGATAGAATACATCTGAAATCATCAAAAAATCATCTAACTTAAGACTTTGACTGTTCAAAAGAATAAGTAAATGATAAAAAACTAAATATATTTGCTTGACCTGTTCAACTTGACTTCCAGTGAGAAAAGCTTCTGGTTTTGCAATACTTGGACCAGGGCACGTGAGCTGCTGGTCTAACCTCTACCAAGTTTTTTCTGTTGACAAACAATGTGGCATCAAACATTTGGTTTTCACTTCTATTTCTGTTTTTCAAAAAGAATGGTGGGCGGTAGATAGGAACTACCTCATTTGTGATTTACCACATACACATAACTGAATACTATTGTGAATTTACAGTGTTTGACATTGCTCAATGTCTGGTTTTGAGTGGTTCAACTAACTCTCTGAGGAAATTTTTTTGTTAATTGTAATATGAGGAAAATCTCATGCCATTGCTATCTATGCCATGCCGATAGCCAATATATTGGCGCTTTTGCTTGTGCACAGTAGAACTGTGAAAACTCATGTTGTAGATCCAAACTGACATAGATATTGTACTATTATGGCTAGGCGTTGGGACAAAGCTTGCGAATCATGGATACGCGGTGTTTGGAATAGATTATGAAGGCCATGGACGGTCAATGGGTTCCCGCTGTTATATCAAAAGGTTTGACAACATTGTCAATGACTGCAGTGACTTTTTCAAGTCCGTTTGTGGTAAGATACCAAATACATGCCTCACAAGCTGTCACAGTGACAAATCATCTGTCTCTGATATGTTAATGCGGAAAAGAACATCTTTAGAATAACATTTTCTTCCTTTTTCCTTTCTCTTGGTAAATTTTTTGGAGTTCTTCCATGTGATCCTCTTTAAAACACTTCAAGACTATTCATTTTTCTTCATTTAAGTCGAATATTTTTCAACATGATATGTATGGTTATAATTGTTAAAGAGCTTCTCTGCTCTTGTTATCCTCTTTACTAAAAGACTTATTATCTTGGACATCAGCGCGGGAGGAGTACAGAGAGAAAACAAGGTTTTTGTATGGGGAGTCGATGGGAGGGGCCGTGGCTCTTTTAATACACAAGAAGGATCCTTCCTTTTGGCATGGTGCTCTTCTGGTTGCACCTATGTGTAAGGTAGGGGCCAATTAAGACTTTTTGTCTAGCACAAGTACTGTATCTTTAGTGCTTGCATTTAGTAGCGACGGACCTTTTAGAAGTCAAAAGGAAAATGAACCGGTTATGGTGTTGCTAATTTACATTGCAAAAATTCACCAGATATCTGAGAAGGTGAAGCCACATCCAATGGTTATAAGCTTACTAACTAAAGTGGAGGATGTCATACCAAGATGGAAGATAGTCCCCACAAAGGATGTCATTGATTCGGCCTTCAAGGACCCTGTTAGAAGGGAAGAGGTGAGGTTTATTATCAAGTTAATATGTGGCATTGGTAGCTTACAAGTATTAATTATATATGATGTTCATTTCTTGTCCTTGATCAAAACTTATGTCCATTTCTTGTCATTTTGCAAGAATAGGTACGCGGAAACAAGTTAATATATCAGGAAAAGCCAAGACTAAAGACAGCTTTGGAAATGCTAAGAACTAGCATGCACCTCGAAGAAAGTTTGCATGAGGTAACTATTACCTCACGCTTCACTTTATTCATGTAAACTATATTTGAGTCATTCTGATAAAAATGAAAACTAAAAGTGTAGTTACAGTACAAAAGTTGAAATTCATTTCCTTGTTTTGACAGGTCACTCTACCATTTTTAGTGTTACATGGGGAAGCAGACATAGTAACTGATCCAGAAGTAAGTAAGGCGTTGTATGAGCAATCGAGTAGTAAGGACAAGACCATAAAACTCTATCCAGGAATGTGGCATGGCTTGACATATGGTGAGCCTGAAGACAACATTGATATCGTATTTTCAGATATCATCTCGTGGCTTGACAAGCGAAATGGAGAGAATAATGATAATGCTACTTTGGTCGAGAAATCAGTTTGTCGAGCTACATCTACTCCATTTGAGATGAACACAATATCGTCACCTGCAATAACAAATGGACAAAAACCACAGAGAACACGTCCACAAGCGAATTATCTGTGTGGGTGGAAAGGGCGTCGGATGCATCATCACTCTGCAATGTAGAAGACTTGGTTGATAGGTATGGGTTGGATCTCTTTGATTTGTTCATTCACGTTATGGTAACATAAATGCTACTATTATTTGTGAGGGATATGGAAAATAACAGGTTTTCCAGAAATTGTATGATGCAAAATCTTGAGTTATTCTTGATCTCCTAATGTTTTAACCAACTTGCTCAATGAAGGTTAATTATACTTGGTACTCTTATTCCTTTTCTGTATCTTCCTTTCCCTTTCGTTTACAAAGAGTTAGCTTTAGCCTACTGCAATTTAAGGAAGTTTTACACTATCAGCTGCCTTCTTCTTTTTTTCTTCTAATTTCTTCCTATTTCTGGTATATACTCGGTGTATAACAAGTGTATAGTCAGCCTATAATATATACACATTTATTATAAACATATTATACAGTGGTTATACACTAAACTAACATTGCATACCCAGTGTATAATGTTTATAAGCATCGTAAGAGGCCTGAAATTTATAAAAGAGAAAAAAGAGGCATTCACTAGCAGCAAACACTTCTGCTTGCATCGGTTTGCAAGTATAAGCCATTAGTTAGCCACTATGAACTGATTTTTTGGGTTTCTTGGTTCTTCGGATTGTGAAAATTCAAGAAACGTGCAATATAATATGAACAAAATCCTAGATATTGAGAGAGCCTAGATAAAAATTTCTGTGGCTAAAAATTGTTAATTGGCATTTGCGGCTAGGCAGATGAAGGAATGATGTGCCGATCGGCCAAAAGTGTAAACTTCTCTTTTTTGTATTTGGGAATAACCCGGACCCTTCGTGAACGCGGGATGCCTTTTTATGTACATTTTATTGCTTAATTCAGGTTATTTTTTAACAGTTAAACCGATAACCGATCAGCTAAAACGGATGACCGATAAAACCATACTGATTGTAAATACTGAGCCGAACCGTCCCGTTGACATCTATTTAGGAAGAGTAAGAATGCTCATGCTATTTCTTGAACTTATATCACTTTTTTCTCCTTTGGACAGAATTCTCAAGATTGTGTTTTTATTATAGAATAATGATTGGCGTAACTTATTCCTGAATCATCCAAAATTTGAAGAAAATTTACTCCATCATGTGTTTATTGTTGTATAATAAAAACTATATTTAAATGCATGGTTATATATATATAGCGCTTAGATATACTAGTATTTAATCTAAAACATTTACCAAATTAATGAATGCAAAATTGTATTTTTTTTCCACTTTAATTTATGATTCTTAAGGTTAAATTAGTGCAATGCAAGAATTCATTTAATTGACATATCATATGCAATCCAATGCCTAGGTAAGTTTATGCATGCACCAAAATTATTTCTAGTGGTTGGAGCAACTAGTTGTTGCAATTGTAATTCGAACGTTGTAGCTCTAAGTGATAGTTGCAGCAAATGCAATTGTTGTAGGATAATATTGGGGCTATATCGGTAGTTGTAGCTTTTTTTTTTGTAATATTGGTAGGTGATGCATTTGGTGGTTGTAGCTTTTGCACGTTAGGCTAATATATTATTTTAAGTGTGAATGAAACTGTCCAATAGCTGCACCAATGATATTGTGCATAAAATATTCAATAATTTGTGTCCGTTAATTGCCTACCAATTGTCCAATTCAAGCATTAATTTGAGCTAATTCATAATATTTCCTTGACAATTCTATTCAATTGTGGTTCCTTTGAGTGAAGGAAGCATGTATATATACTGGTTGCCAACACCGAGCCATTCAATAATTTTCCTCCTAAGATCCAACAAGACAGCCTTTAGTTATCCAAGGATTTGCTCTCCTACTAGTTTTTAAGCACGTCCGTTGCGCGTGTAATCTATATTGATTAGTATAAAAATAAAAAATTATATAATTTAAAGAATATTTGAGTTAGAAAAATAAAATTAAAAATAAAAGTTTAAATTATTAAAAAAATTATAAATATGATCCTATTTAGCTAACTCAAACGATAATTGAATAGGAAAAATTATAAAATTAAAGACGCAAAATAAATTTTGTATTCGACTTCCAACCGAGTCCGAGAGCGAGGAAGTATTAGATTTCTTAAGTCCACGCCCTCATTCTGAGCAACGAAGAGGGACCAAAATTGCCCAATTCGCATTCCTAATGCTTTATTTTAGGGAGGCGCACAATGATTTTGATAAACCAAAATAAAAAGATAAAATATTTTAAAACTTTTACTGGTAATATAATCATTCATAAAGACATGTATTTTTTAGGAGTTCAAGTTATCGTACTTCGAAATGATCCTCTCAATTTATTGAGAAACTTTCAGTATTATATCTTGAAAAAGTTAATGGATCAATCAATGTAAATAGATAACTCGTGATGCACTGCAGAAATTAGACTTGCATCTCAAAACACGGAACTCATTTTTATCTTTTGTAGAATAGTATGGATTGTTTACAAATAGTTAAATCTCTTGCAATTCACTAGAGAAATATATTTTTGAGTACTTGACGTTCCTGCTTAGCGTTGGAGCTAAATGCTTTGGCTCGTCTTTTGCTCAATGTTTCTATAGAAGTAGGGAAACAAAATTAGGAAAAATAATATCACATAATTTCAAATTAAAATTTGAAAATAGAAATAACAGGAAGAGAAGAAAAGAGTGAGAAATTTCTATCAAAACTTGAACCGAAAATTATCTTGAATGAATGGAATTTAGAAAGAAAATGAGAAACATAGTGCAAAGGAGTAAGTTGGTGAACGAAATTAGGCAAACAAAATATTCAAAGCAACTCCTCAAATTCTCTAAATATTTAATAGCAATTAAGAGAACATTATAATGTAATTATGTTGCTAATATGCTTTTTCTGTAAACAGGTTATGGAATTGTAAAAGCTAGCTCTTAAATGGGATACATGCATAGAAGGTTAGAAGAAATTAATTTTTGACAAACGAAAGCTAACCAATAAACCAAGAAATGATATAAATGATTCTTATTAGCTCATTATTTAGCAACAAAAACAAATAGAAAATACAAGGGAATTAACGTTTAAACTTTATGGTTTACAAAATAAACAGCAAATTAATGTGTTGTTATAATTCATCATTTAATAGGATTCCCAATTAACCACATTCATGTAACTGTACTATTATTTAACATTTAATAGGAGGATTTTTTTTAATGGTGAAGGTCAAAGGGTTGTCTTTATTTCAATTTAAATATTTTCTTTTTATTAATTTCTTAGAATGTTTCTTTACATCTTTGTACAAATTTATATCTAAAATAATATTATGTTGAAGGGTATTACAGTCATTCACCTTTACAAGATTATTTCGGTCTTTTAAGTTATAGTTTGGGTCTTCATACTTATAATATAGTATGATTATTACCCTGTGTCCCCTTAAAAATTGAAGGAAAAGTCATACATTTGGTCGTTCAGCAAATTATACACTAATTATATATATACTATTCCCTCTATTTCATTTTGTTTGAACTTTTTCGGAGTATGAGAGTCAAATTATCTAATTTTTTAGCGTGAATTCAAATATAGATTTTATAAATTTTTTAAAATAAAATTTGCATATTTAGAAACTATATAAAAAAATACCATGAGTCATAGTAATTAACTGAATTAGCATCCCATTAAAATAATAAACTAAAAATAAACCTAACTTTTTATATTTTACTAATATTGTAAGCGCGTAATTTTTGACTCACTCATTTTGGAGTAGTTTAGTATTTCTAGTATTTTTTTAAAAATATTTATTCGAATTATTCTAAGTCTGTTCTTACTTTTAATTTTATATTACAATTAAAAACACAAAAATAGTTTTACTTTGCCTTATTTTATATTTAAACTAAGATCATTAATATTCTTGTAGTAATACTATTTTAGTTTACTATGGTTTTAACTAATGTTTATCTATTTTTATAATTTTTAATAAAAGACCAAAACTAGTGTTATGTTATAATATAGTTTCATTTAAATTGGTTAAGATTTGATTTTTGCATTTTTTATAATATATTTTATTAGAACAATTAGCGTTTTGGGCTAGAATTTTCGGATTTATCAAAACCCAAGTATATTTAGCCCAATTTTGAGCAATGATAGCCCAAAACTCAGCAACCCAAGAGCCCTAATTTACTAGACCCGCCAACCCGGTCCGCCAACCCGCCCCAAAACCCCTTTTAATCTCAGCCTTTGATCCAATTAAATCCAACGTTCCTCCCACTACCAAATAAAAACCTAATATAACACAAACCCTAACCCTATCTCTATGCTAACCAGCCACACCCCAACCCTTCTGTCGCCCCAACCACCACGCCACCACCCTCAACTCGCCAAATCAGGCGAGTCACTCAACGAGTTACCATGGTCCCCTTCACAAATAACGGATTTCGTACTATCCGAATCTGCCTCATTCCCTCACGCGCTCATCTCATCCGAAACTGATTTGAAGACGAGATTAGGATTAATGGGGAGCGTAGGATTGAGTCTCACTCGATCTACTCCTTCCACTTGTCCTTTACTCGTTTAAAAGATTGAATTTCGGATTTTCCGTAAGGGGAATTTTTCGTTTCTTAGAGCACAAGAATAGAAGGTTCTAGGTTCATGTATTTAAGAGGATTTTTGGGAGACAGAATTAAGAAGAAAAAACGAGGGTTTCAAAGAGGGTTTCTCCTTTCATGATTTTCGGATTTTTTGTTTGGTTTTAATTTTTGAAATTTACAAAACAAAAACACAAAAGATTTCTGATTCCTCATTTTAATTTCGGATTTCTGTTGCAAAAAATGGAGTTCGATTGAATCTAGTTCGTCGCTATTGTTGCTCACCGTTCGATGTTTCCGGTCGGGTTTTTGCTGTTTTGCTCGGAGGTTTTGTCAAATATTCTGCTCGAGATTTATTCACTGCTCAATTTTGTTCGATTCAGTTACCATAGTTGCTGAAATCCTATTAATCGGAAAGCTAATTTCATGTTTCTTTTCTAATTCTTTCTCTTATTTTATTCTTTGGTGTTGTTAAAATATGATGAGAGCCTAAGATAAGCAATTAGGATTGGTTTGAATTTCTAAAATGGTTAAGCTCGAGTGCTAATAGAAGCAGATTGTTGGATTTGGATTGACGATGAGTCCGGATGAATTCTCAGTGGTATGCGAATCTGCTCTGTTTTTGTTTTTGTGTTCAAATGTCGTACAATCTCGAATCTTCTTGATTCCAACACGCTTGATTGAAGTCGGATTTGGTTTGTGAATGTATGGATTACTGAAATATGTCACGTTACTGCTGAAAAGAGTTCGACTAGTTCCTTTGATGTTTGCAAGGTTTC